GAAGCTGGCCCAAGTCCTTGGGACCCTGTACCTATGTGTGAGATCCCAAGGTAGCTCCTGCCTTTGGATTTGCTCAGCTCCAGCTGTTAACAGCTATTTGGGGAGTGAATTAGTGGATGGAAGATCTCTCTCTGTTAACTCTACCTTTCCAATTAAAAATCTTAGAGAGAGAGCACCTTATAAGCAAGGAAAAGACATTACCTTGGCACACCATGGATTTTAGTAGGTATAGCCACCACCGCTCCTTGCCATGGGAAAGCTAGACAAAATAGTGGCTGGAAAACCCCTTGTTGTCCAGCTCCACAGGGCCACGCAAGAAGCTGAGTTCTTGGCAGCTCTCTCAGAGTTTTGTTTTCATAAGTCAAAAGTAACACTTTCCCAGTGGCCAAAATACATCCTCATTTCAGGAACCAGACGGCTAAGGTGTGAAAGACACACACCAGTGGCATCTGGATGGGCGTGGCAGGGAGTTAGTGAACCAAGGGCTTCAGAAGCTCCCAGCAGCCTGTGCAGCATCCTTGCACTGCTGAGACTCCACCCACTTCCATGCCAGTTTGACACACCCACCTTCCCATGATGCACCTGAGCCCCCTCCATCCTGCAGAAGACGCCACAATAAACACATATATAATGAGCTCCATGAAGTCGCATGGAGACGCCGTGAAGCCTTCCCACAGATCACCAACTCAAACCCTACTGCATTTGTATACACAATTAGGACACCAACTCCTACTGAATAAAAGGGACAGCCGACATGGGATGGCCACGAGTCTCCTCATGAAGTTGTCTGCACTCACTTAAGCGTGTGTATTATCTCTTCAAGCCTTAAAATTAAGCCCTGCTCCCATGTATGCACCTTACCGCTATGTCTGCGTTGAGTTCATCTCTTAGGGGAGAGACAAGAGCTTGGAATAAACCCACCTGGGGGTCCTCATCCCCATAAGAATATCATATTTCAGGGCCAACACTGTGGCACAGTGCTTAAATCAGCACCAGCCATTTGATTATGAAATTCCATATGGGTACTAGTTCGGGTCCCAGCTGCTCCACTTGTCCAGCTGTTAGGGACCTGTTAAGGCACCTGGGAAAGCAAAAGATGGCCCAAGTCACTGATTCCTTGCACTCTCCGGGAGATGAGAATGGATTGAGTTCTAGGCTGCTGCTTTTGCCTTGACCCAGGTCTGGCTGCTGTGACCATCTGGGGGAGTGAACGGAAGATTTGGGAAGCAAATAAAAGACCTCTCTCTGTGTCCCTCTCTCTGTAACTCTGCCTTTCAAATAGTAAAACCTTTTTTAAAAATATCATATGTCTGGCCCAGTGGCGTGGCCTAGCAGCTAAAGTCCTCGCCTTGAACGCACAGGGATCCCATATGGGTGCCAGTTCTAATCCCGGCAGCTCCATTTCCCTTCCAGCTCCCTGATTGTGGCCTGGGAAAGCAGTCGAAGATGACACAAAGCTTTGGGACCCTGCACCCGCGTGGGAGACCCAGAAGAGGTTCCTGGTTCCCGGCTTCAGATCGGCGCAGCACCAGCAGTTGCAGTCACTTGGGGAGTGAATCATCGGACGGAAGATCTTCCTCTCTGTCTCTCCTCTTCTCTGTATTTCTGACTTTGTAATAAAAATAAATAAATATTTTTAAAAAACAAACAAAACAAAAAACAGAACTGCAAAGCAGCTTAAATGCAATTGTAAAGTGAATTTAAAATATAAATATATCATATGTCAGGGCCAGCAAATGGCTCCACCTGCTAATCCTCCACCTCTAAAAGCTGGCATCCCTGTAGGTACTGGTTCATGTCCCAGCTGCTCCATTTCCAATTCAGCTTCCTGCCAGTGGTCTGGGAAAGCAGTGGGTAATGGTCTATGTCCATGGGACCCTGCAGCCATTTGAGAGACCTGGAAGAAGCTCCTGGCTTTGGATCAGCTCCAGCCACTGTGGCCATTTGGAGCGCGAATCAACAGATGGAAGATCTTCCTCTCTGTCTCTCCTCTCTCTGTATATCTGACTTTCCAATAAAAATAAATAAATCATTAAAAAAAAGTTTGTGGAAAATGAGTATTATGAGAAAAGTATGTGTAGACTACAAATTGTTTTGCACCAAAATAAACTTATGTTTTTATTTCACTGTTCTGTAAACTTGTAACAAGCATCCTATTTTTTTTAACCTCCATAGGTACATACTGCCACTTTGCCAATTTAAACTAGCAGGACTTTGGGGGAAAATAACTTGATGTGCATTACAAAATCCTCAAATTAGCATACCCTTTGGCTCAACAATCCTATGTTAAGAAATCTCAAGAAAAGCCACTGGACGAAGTAGACAGATAAGAAGATTGTGACAGAACTAACTAAACCCTAGAAGTAGATTCACTTTAAAATGCAAGGCACTATGGCCTAGAGGGTTAAGCCACTTTCTGTAATACCAGCATCCCATATTTAGGTACCAGTTCAAGTTCTGGCTGCTCCCCTACCAATCCAGCTCCCTGCTAACGTGCCCAACCTAAGAAAGCAGCGGAAGACGGACCAAATGTTTGTGCACCTACACTCACGTGGGAGATCCAGAAGAAGCTCCTGGCTCCTGGCCTTGGATGGGCCCAGCTGTGCCACTGCGGCTATTTGGGGAACAAACCAGCAGGTGGACGATTTTGCTTTTTTCCTGCCCTCTCCAAACTCTTTCAAATAATAATAATAACGATAATAACAATCAATAACACCAAGGAACTGAGTATGGTATTCATTTCTCCCTCTCTCTCTCCAGGAACTGCAACAATTTATCACTAGGCTCTTAACTCGGTATTGTGAAATAGATGAAACTTGTTCACCTTATGTAGGGGATGAATGCTTCGAACATTCTGAAGACACAATGCTTGCAACCCAACCTTCAGTCTACTGTGACACAGGAGGACACTTCACTTAAGAACCAGGTGCTCCACCCCAGGGGAACAGGGAGGAAAGGCCACCAGGCAGGTGGGACTGGGTCAGAGGCTCTCCCTTCCCCCTTGCCCCATCCCCAGAGGTGGGCCATCCATCCATCCAACCGCCAGAACACCTGCTGTCGCTCAGCTAACTGGGAGGAAGTTTCGAGATCTTGGGTTGAACTAATATCTAAATACCCGGAGAACTAAAACTCAAGAATGAGACAATGACATCAGAGAGAACCACCAGGAAGAGAGCTCACAGGGTGCTGTGTGGCCCAGTGTGATGAGTGTTGTGAGTGTCCCAGGCGGATGTGGCTCTAACCCAAGGCACCGTTGAGAACAGTGGGAGGTGAACGGAGCATACACAGGCAGTTCAAAAAAATCAGAGAAAAACACAGTCAGAATCTAAAGCTACTTTGGTGGGAAGAAAATTTGAGACTCAGGCATGGTTTGCTCTTAATAGGTACTTTCTGGGATGTCTTGAAGACTACTTAATGTATAGTTGCAGGTAGGAAAAAGGTGGCCCAAGGGAGCTAGCATGCCCTGTTGTTCAAGACGGAAGGCAACGGATGGCACCCACAGCTGAGAACAGTCATTTGAAGCGTGCCACCGCAGTATGGAGGCAAGTAACGCAAGTACCACGGGAAGCAGACACCTGCCCGCAGTGCTGCTGGAGTCTAAAGCCTTACGAATTCTCTCACCACAGGGCTTGGTTTTGCTTTGGTGCTTTTCCAGGTTTCCTGACATTGAAAGGACACATACCCACACACGACTCTTTCTAGTGATGATGGGGGAGTGGGCTATAGACACATCTTCTCTCCCCCTTGACATTTTCTAAAAACAGTTCAACACGGAGTGTGCCCGTAATAAATCAGGAAGCTAAAGGCATTTGGACTCCATGCCTACCCTAAACCTCCCCCCAGGGTAGAAAGCCCAGTCTGCGGCTGTTTGCCCAGCCCAAGCACCACAGCCTGCCAACTCCTTTATGCACACAGCAAATATTTGTGCAGCTCCTGAGATCCAGGCCCTGGAACCGGCTAAGAGGACCCCTGGGAAATGGGCTAAGCCAACACTTCTCACGGCCTCCATGCGCAGGCAGCAGGAGGACAGAGGGAGCGGGTGTGGACTGGTGTCTGAGGCTGCAGCAGCAAGCTACTGGCTGAAGACTTCCCAGAGGGAAGTCACTTTGGTACCAGGAGAGATTCCGTCTTGGGCTTCCATGCTGGCTAGATGTTGACAGCCAGAAGGGATGCTCCTTAAATTCTTGGTGAACAGTAGGGAATGACACGTGGAAAAGACAAGTGCCGGGGTCCCACCATCCCTCCAGAGGTGTCACTGACTTTCCAGATTAAGGCTTCGGCTTCCGCCCAGGTAAAAGGGCAATGACAGGCGCTACCTTCAAGGGGGGGGGTGGGGCAGGAAAGTGCAAGGGACTCTCAAGGGGAGGCTGTGAACCCCTCCAGCTGCTCACGGGGCTCAAGGCCTCCTGCCCCTGCAAGGACATGGAGGGAAAGTGGTGGTTCTGGGGACACCCCCGAGTCCTCCAGCTCCGAGTCCTCTAGACGGGAAACCACGCACCTACCTCCCTTCCAGGACGTTCTGAGCACATAAGAGGGACGTAGCCAACACCAGGCAGGAAATGGGAGGCCGAATTTGTCCTGGTTCCCCTCAATGTTATTACAAGTGAGATAATGGGGAAAACCAAAGAAGCACCCCTTTCTCCCCACCAACTCCCCGCACCGCCCGCCCCGCGCGCCCCATTAGGGCGTGTTGTGATGCGCTCAAAAAAGTGCCCTCAGTAAACTCAGTGCCCACCAAACCCTCCTGCCACTGGGCTCCGCCACCGCCTCCACAACAGGGCCTTTCTGGCGCCACCGACGTCCTGGGAGTTCCAACCGGTTCTCCCAGTCACAGAGCCCAGGTGGGCTGCACCTCCAAGCCCACCCAAAGGATCGCGCAAGCTCCGCACGGCGGACGAGTGCAGGGGGCCCAGCGGCGACGTACGCACGCACGCACGCACCTCGCCCCGTCTCCCGCCCCGGCCCCGGCCCTGCCTGGCCCCGGCCCGCCGGCCACTCACGATCTCGGCCACGATGAGGAGCCCCGGCGCGGTGCGGAGGAACTCGCGGTCGTAAGCGAAGCTGCTGCTGGTGGTGGAGAAGTTCTCGGCGAAGGAGCTGGTAGTCGTGGTGACGGTGTGCGAGCGGCCGCGCTGCGGCTCCTCCATCGTCTCGCCCCGGCGACCCCCAGCGCGGCGCTCCGGGGAGCTGGGGAGGACAACGGGGGCGAGGGGCAAGGAGCGCGCGGCGGTGCGCCGAGGGGCCTCGCGCTCGGGGGGTCCCCCGTCCGGGCGCACGCGCTGCTCCCACGAGTGCGCGGTCCGGCGCGTGGGTCCCGGGCTGCGCGGGGAGCTCCCCCCCAGGGAAGGCGGAGAAGCCGCGCGGGGAGGCCGCCGGGGCCGAGGCGGGCGGCGGAGGCCGGGAGGAGGGGAGGGGGCGTGGAGAAGGGCGGACGACGGGCGGGAGGCGGGCGGCGCAGGGACCGCCCCGCAGAGGCGCCGCGGGGCTGGCGGCCACCTCACCTGTTGCGGGAGGCCGGAGACCCAGAGGGCGTCCGGGTCGCGCCCGAGGGCTGGGAGCGTCTGGCAGGCTCCACCCCTGGCGAGGGCCGGCCCCGCGGCTGACCTGTTCCCCCTTCCACCTGGCTGGGGCGGGGGGCCCTGGTCACGCGGGAGCCCCGCGCGGACACCCTAGGCCTCTCCTGCTGGAGACTGGGCAGTGACTGGAGCGGCCGGAGCGATGCAGGGCGGCGTTGCTGCTCCCTTCGCCGCGGCCGTCACCCCGTGTCCCGGGCCCGCTTCCTGCCCCTCCTGTCGGGAACAATTCGTGGAACCCACTTCATCTGTGAGCTCTGACTGGGAGACGCTTCCAGGAGCTCCCTCGCCGCTCTTTGGCGGGCGTCACGGGTGGCAACGGGCCAGAGGTGTGGGGTCGCCGGCTTGCTATGTCTACTGTGTGACTGTCCCATCGCCCCCCTGAAAGGCGGCGGGGACGTGGGGGTGGGGAGAAGGTGATTTCGAAAAAGCTTGGAAGATGTGGTTTGTTGGGAGGTGGAGTTTCACAAAGAGGCGTTTGTGCTTTTCTGGGACTGAGGAGCAGATGAGGCGCGTCGAGGAGGGCCCCTTGTGGCACCTGACTGGATCAGCGAAAAAGGTCACGAACAAGTGGCTCTGGTCGTGGCACCTGTAAGACACAGTTTGGCAGATACCCACGGGGCCAGAACTACCAGTGTTATCAGGGCCCCACCAAAGGGAAAGACGGTACACCCTTCTCCACAAAAACAGGGTAGTTTTGGTATCTCTGAAGAGCACCTGTTCTCCCTGATGTGTTATTCCAAGCCAGGATCCAGACAGAGTCGAGTCTAAGCCAGGATCAAAGTCAGAGACAGATGAGAAGGGACAGTTCGTTCTTTCTTTTTATTTACTTATTTTTATTGGAAAGGTAAATATACAGAACGGAGAGACAGAGAAGATCTTTCATCCGCTGATTCACTCCCCAAGTGCCCACAACGGCCAGAGCTGAAGCTGGGTCCTGGAGCTTCTTCCAGGACTCCCATGTGGGTGCAGGGTCCCAAGGCTTTGGGCTGTTCTCGACTGCTCTCCCAGGCCACAGCAAGGAGCTGGATGGGAAGTGGAGCAGCTGGGACATGAACCCGCCTCCATATGGGATCCTGGCATGTGCAAGGCGAGGACTTTAGCCACTAGGCTGCTGTGCCAGGTCAATGTTTCTTTACCTCTCGTCTCCTCACCTTGCCTCACTTCACCTCGTCTTACCTTGCCTTTCTTCCCCTTCTTTGATTTATTTATTTGAAAGTCAGAGTTACAGACACAGGGAGAAACAGTTTTTCCATCCACTGATTCACTTTCCAGATGGCCACAATGGCCTAGGGCCAAAGCCAGGAGCTTAGAGCTTCCCAGTCCCCAGGGGTCCATCCATGTTGCACCTCCACCTGCCACTTTGTGCATGAGTAGGGAGCTGGATAGAAAGTGGAGCAGCTGGGGCATAAACCAGCACCCATAAAGGATGCTGGCTTCTCAAACAGCGACTTTACCCGTTGTGCACAATGCCATCCTGAGAGAACGGGTATTTCATCTGCAATGTCTTACCAGCTGTGCTAAGGAGAAGGCAAAAAACTGTGAGAGAGTAGAATAAAAAAGGAAGCAAAAAGTGGAGGGCCTGGAGGAGAACCTCAGGAAGTGAAGACTTCAAAAGCTTACTCAGGATGAGGATTTGCAGAAATCGGGTCCCCACACATGTGGCTGGCAACTTGGGCTAGCTGGTGAGTGAATACATCAGAACTCAGCAAGATGTCACTTTGTGGTCGGTGCCCCCATTCTCTGGGAATTTGGCAGAAACAAACGTTCTTAAGCCCTGCCCAGGCCCCTCCAAGGATGGTCAGAGGCTGTACTGAAACAAGCCCCTCGAAGGCACTGAGGCAGCCCCAAGTTAAGAATGAATGGTGAAAGGGCCCAGCGCAATGGCGCAGTGGTTAAGGTTCTCGCCTTGCATGCCCGGGAACCCATATGGGCGCCGATTCTAATCCCGGCAGCTCCACTTCCCATCCAGCTCCCTGCCTGTGGCCCGGGAAAGCAGTCGAGGACGGCCCAAAGCTTTGGGACCCTGCACATGCGTGGGAGGCCCAGAAGTTCCTGGCTTTGGATTGGTTCAGCTCTAACCGTTGTGGCCACTTGGGGAGTGAATCATCATCGGATGGAAGACCTTCCTCTCTGTCTCTCCTCTCTGTATATCCGCCTTTCCAATAAAAATAATAAATAAATCTTAAAAAAAAAAAAAAAGAATGAATGGTGAAGACAAACTACCGATGCATTTGTGGGGAGTAAGAGAAACAGGTGCACAGTGGTTGGAGCATCCAAGGCATCCCTGGTGACATTTAGCGAGTTCATGAGACAGGAAGGATGTCTAAACAACTCTATTTTTGTAGCAAAAGACAATCCCTTCTTAAATCCCTTGGGACCCAGTGGACTTCAGGATTCTGGTTTATTTTTCTTAGAACTGTAAATTATGCATATGCCATGTATTGTTGAACATCTTTGTGAAGGGGGGAGTGACGCTTGTAACCAAGTATGCTTCGTATTTTGGTAGTGAACATATAGGAAGAACTGAAAGGTTCCCTATTGCATTGTAATAGATATTCCCAAAAATTAGTGGCTGAAAAAAGTGATTTGGTCAGGAATCTGTGGATTCGGAGTTTGGGCAAGCTGTTTGGGTTCTGTCGGTTGGAGTTGTCCCCTTGGCTGTTGTGTCTGGGCAGGGCTGGGAGGTCCACAGAGACTGTTCACAGGCATGCATTCCAGGGCTCCTCCAAGTTCACGGGCGTCTCCAGGAAGCTTGGGTTTTTTTTTTTTTTTCTCATAGCAGAGGAAGTCAGGTTCCTCCATGACAGCCGGCAATCACAGAGAAGTTTCCAGAAAGGACATCTTACGCTACACATATCATGTATGCAATATTTTGGTGGTCAAAAACAAGGGGTGATCCAGATGAGCAGCAAAAAATACAGCAATCTTTTAATCTCCAAAGGGATTTGTAATTGCAAATAAAGAAATAAAACTTTTTAAAAAGATTTATTTATCTATTTATATTGGAAAAGCAGATTTACACAGAGCTGGAGAGACAGAGAGAAATATCCTCAATCTGCTGGTTCACTCCCCAAGTGGTCACAATGGCCAGAGCTGAGCCAATCAGGAACCAGGAGCTTCTTCTGGGTCTCCCACGCATGTGCAGGGTCCCAGGGCTTTGGGCCGTCCTCGACTGCTTTCCCAGGCCACAAGCAGGGAGCTGGGTGGGAAGTGGAGCAGCTGGGACATGAAGCAATGCCCATATGGGATTCCAGTGCTTGCACAGTGAGGTGTTAGCCACTAAGCCATCGCACCAGGCTCAAGAAATAAATCTTTAAAAGAAAGAAGGAGGAGAAACATAGAAGTCATGGCTCAGAATTCATCAATATTAAAGATAAGCTGGCAGCTATGACTTCTGAAAATAAAGAAACTAAGGGACCTTTTTATTTCCTGCAGAAGGCACTCGCCATAGGTTCGCCAACCGTATGTTTCTCTTCCTTGTTATTCAGTTTGAAATAAATTGTGATTTGGCAAGGAATACCAGTGGCCATTAAAATTGTTAAACAGAAGTGTGATGAGAAAAGGCACAGTTCCAGCCTGTCCAGGTCTCTCCCCAGAAGGCTCCATTTTCCCTTTGAAATTCATGACTGTGTTAGGGAAGCCTTTGGCTGCAGCTTTGGTGGAACGTTGAACGGCACTTCACCCAGGTGAGGTGCCACATCCCAGAGAGCTAGCTTCACTTCAGACCAGATTGACTCGTGAGGAAAGAGCAGACAGACGGAAACCAAGAGGTTTAAAGAAAAGGATTGTACTGTGTTGAAAGTTACAGAGAGAGATCCTCTACCGGCTAATCCACTCCCTGAGAAGCACGAGGTCTTGGCCAAGCAGGAGCCGGGAGCTTCTTCCAGGTCGGTGTCAGGGACCCAAGCACTTAGGCCATCCTCTGCTGCTTTCCCAGGCCATCAGTCAGGAGCTGAATCAGAAATAAAAAAACAGCCAGGACACAAAACTGGTACCCATACACGATGCCAGCCCCACAGGCTGCAGCTTTACCTGCCACGCTACAGCACCAGTCCCAAAGCTGATGAGGTCCACTTCATGAAGGGCAGATACTGAGGAACTGTTTTACGCTCAAAGTAACCAAACGGACCTGCAGTGGGGTACAGTGTGAAATCTTGCGCTAGATTCTGTGCCAGAAAACGAATATTCATGGATCAATTCATGAATATTCATGTAGGTCACATGGCAGCATGGTGTGCAGGTTCATTTTGTGATTTTGATCCTTGTATTCTGGTCACATAAGGTGTTAAGTTTTAGGGAGTCAGGGGTATCGTGTATAGGATATCTTCTATTTTTTGCAGTTTGGTTGTAAGTCTGAAATGATGGCAAACATGTAAGAAGAGACAAGCATTTTTTTTTAAGGTTTTTTTAAAATTTTTGTTGCAAAGTCAGATATACAGAGAGGAGAGACAAAGAGGAAGATCTTCCGTCCGATGATTCACTCCCCAAGTGAATGCAATGGCCGGTGCTGTGCCTATCTGAAGCCAGGAACCAGGAACCTCTTCCGGGTCTCCCACGCGGGTGCAGGGTCCCAAA